AGGGAAAAATCAAATTCCCTCCCCCTTGTAAATCGCCTTCAATGGAAGCCATGTCAGACTGAAGGTTCTGGGAGCTTCAGTCTGACACTCAGGCTACATCATTACCACAGAGGTCAGGGCGATGGGTCTGTAGTCATTAAGTCCTGTGGTCCTTGGCTTTTTGGGGACAGGAATGATGGTGGAGGTCTTGAAGCAGGCTGGCACATGGCATGTCTCCACTGAGGTGTTAAAGATGTGGGTGAACACCGGAGGCAGCAGGTCGCTGCAGTGCTTCAAGGTGGACGGAGAGACTGTAGTCAGTTTTACACTGCCAGATTTTCCGCAAACGTTTTGCCAGCCAGCTGCGAGCGTTTATACACAGAGAGGCGGAATGGCGAGTTGATCCGAGACGCCCAATTTTTCACCTCGTAGGCCGAACCCTTTTAGCTTAAACAGACCGAGGCGGCCTTCCACAATGGGAGGGGCTGTTGAAGACTTGTTGGAGGAGCTGTTGATGACGCCGCACATGAGAGCCACTGGCGGTGGATAAACAGGAAACAGCTGATTGCAGGAATTAGTGAGCAGCTGGTAGCAAGAGGGAAAAAAGATTAGCAACTGGGGAGACAAGGAATTGCGTGCCCTCCTTGCCCTCGCAAACGAAGAGGCGATTAACCGTCAGATGACAGGAACGGTGAGGAACGGGACGACTGAGAGAGAGAATGAGAGAATCACTGCCTGACTAGCCGTGGCTTCCCTCCCACGTCACTGTTTACGTCACACTGAACCACTCGTTTTGTAACTTGCTCACGCCCACCATTACCCTGAAAAAGGTGCATTCTGTAAAAACAAAAGTTGGTAGGCGGCATTTTGCTGCACTCCCCAGTTTTGTTTTTATACTGCCAATGCTGAAAGAAGACTGATTGGGCTTTCCTGTAAATTTGCACAATTCCTATCTAAAAAGGGCTAGAGTCTGGTCCAGCTACTTTGTGGGGGTTCTGCCTCATAAAGAGCCTGCTGACATTGTGATGGCCCCAGGGCCTCCACTAGGGTTTAGTGTTGTGTTATGTTCTTTTGTTTCAGAGTGCTGGTGGCTTGATTGGTCGTGGTGATTGGAGGCAGCTGGCCACTGTCTCCAGCCCTTTAAAACCTGCCCTCCTGGGAACTTGGTGCCTCTTCTTTTCCCCCTGGCACCGTGCTGCATTGATTGCATTTACTTGAGTTGTGTATAGTTTAGTTTGCATTATAATACTTGGTTATATTGTTTATTCTTGATTTTTTGCTTTTTATGTAACTCCCCATGTGTTTCCTTATTTGTGATGGTCTTAGAGCCGGACCATAACAACATCCCTCTCCTGGATAGTGAGAGTAGTGGTGGGGGAGGAGGAGTGGGCCATAGGTGTGGGCAGTTGAGGGGGTGGCAGGCCCCTGCTGAGGTGGGGGAGGTGATACTGGTGGGTTGGAGCTGGTGGTCGCGGGGGATGGTGTCTGGACTGTCCCATTGTCTTTCAAATCGACAGTAAATCAACAGGATGTTTCACTAGCCAGCAAAAACACTTACAATGGAGCCGCGTCAGCCATTGGTGCGTGTTGTAAGCTGTAATTCAGCAGTAAATAATCAGCTGTGTGTCTGACTGTGGATGGTGGAAGTTTTGAATGGATTTGTGGAGTTTGTTAGTTACAGCGGTGGCTGTTAGCAGTTAGCTCGGCTTGTTAGCCGCTGAACAGCAGCGGAGCAAGAGGACACTGGCCGTCGGACTTCACAGCTAATCCCTGCAGGACTCCACTCAGATGCTGACTCGAGAGGGTTTATGGTTTGATGCTGTTTGACAAGCAGGTACTGTAGGAGGCTCAGTTATCTGTGTAGTGTAGCTGTGTTGTAAGTAAACAGTCTGAACTCGGATCAGTTTTCTCTAACAGAGATGAAATTTTAGTTTTAATCACCAACTCTGTGAGAGGACACGAGTTTAAACCTCCAGACTAACATGTTGCAGATTAAGAAAGAATTCTGGCTTTAATTACGTTACTTCTCTGCTCCTTAACAGTGAGATGGATAAGTCAGAGTTTACAATGAACCTGGGTACAAATCCTAGTTGTCTCGGATTAGTTATTTGTGGTGTCAAAGTTTTTTTTCAGAGTATAAATAGAGAGATGTTGAGCTTTTTAAATAATGATCAGTAAGTGTGTGCTTGTAAATCACCCCTTAAACCTGTCAAACACTGCTGGAGAAATGATAGTTTGTATGTGTGTAAAAATTGTTTGTAGTTATCGAAAATAACTGAATTAAATTTTATTACAACCTGTCACAGTGATTTTAATATCTGATACATGAACTGGATTAGTTTAGATAAAAAAACATATAGATAACATATTGACTAAAAGTTGACTTCAACATTTTGAATTTCCGTGGACTAAAACTAGACTAAAAATGTAAAAGATCAAAATGACTAGAATGTGACAAAAACTAATAAGCATTTTAATCTCAAGACTAAGACTAAGGGCCCTATTTAGATGGTCTAAAACGCAAAGCGCCAGGCGTGCACTGCATGGGTGTGTCCCAGTCACTTGCTAGTTAGACAGCCCATTTTCAGACTGTGCGCCATGGCGGAGAGTCTAAAAGGGTTGGACTTATTCTGTGAATTAGTCATGGGTGTGTTTTGGGCGTATCATTCAATAAGCCAATCAGAATGTCACCTCTCATTCCCTTTAAACGAGGCGTGATTGGAGCGCACAGCGGAGAGCTAGTTAGATGGTGGACCTACCAACTGGAAAGAGTGAGCGTTTTACAGCTGAGGAGACGATAAATGTATCTCTATATCGACTGTCCCGTCACATCTGATGTCAGATCAAAGGGGATTGGCACGTTTGGCACGCGTAATGGAAACCCAACCTGATTTGATTACAGTAACACAGCTGCAACCTAATAAGTTCACATCCCTCTCAGCCAGCCACAAACAGCCACAGCATCAGATAGGGAGTATATATTCAGCATCTGTCATCTTAGAAAAGTCAAAAGAAAAGAAACAGAGTGAGACTGCGAGAGAGAAAGAGAGAGCACGCACGCACGAGAGAAACGCTGTCAACAAATTGTAAATTATTCAATTTATTTTATTTTAACCCAGGAGGTTAGAGAGCCCAGCTCCCTCTCCAGCATCCTGAACCCCCCCGCCTGAAGGTACAGGAAGGGCTGGTTCCGTCGCTGCACCCGGGCCGTCTGGTCTGGCTGCGCGCTGGCTGCGGAGCTGGGGTCATCCTCCTTCTCCTCCTCCTCCTCCTCCTGACAAGATGATCTTCAGTTTTACATTCTAAAAGCTTATTTTTTTTACATATACATTTGTACTTGTAGGGCTATAAGTTTACGTTTTTAGTTCACAGAAGCTGGTTATTGTTGTGTTTATGTCAAAATAAAATTTATCAAACATTTTCAAATGCATCATCAGCCCGTGGAGGTCTGCTCGCAGTTCCGTATATTCGGACACTGCGAGCAGACCTCCCAGATTATGATGATCATTATTACTACAATTACTATTGCGGCAGTAGCTCAGTCCATAGGGACTTGGGTTGGGAACCGGCGGGTCGCCTGTTCGAGTCCCCATCTGGACCAAAATATGGAGCGTGGACTGGTGGTTGGAGAGGTGCCAGTTCACCTCCTGGGCACTGCCGAGGTGCCCTTGAGCAAGGCACCGAACCCCCCAACTGCTCGGGGTGCCTCACCAAGGGCAGCCCCCTCACTCTCCACTTTGCGCATGTATAGGTCCTGTTTGTGTGTGTGTCTTTCAGACCTGTGTGTTGATGACAAGCAAGAGTGAAAACATTGAATTTCCCCGCAGGGGGATTAATAAAGTAAATAAACTTAAAACTTAAACTTAAACTTAAACTTAGATCATTCTGATTAATGACTGACCATTAAGACGTGTTTCTGATAAATATTGTAATGTGCACAATAATAACCTTTCACATTGTAGTCATATTTTTATTTGTTATATTTTGCATATGTGTGGCTGCTTCATGTGTGTCTGAGCAGAGTGCACGTGCGTTGTGCACCTGCCTAGACAAGCATATTACTAACTTGTTTAATAGTGAAATACTGCGCCGTTGACTTTAGACCAGGTTTTTGTTGGTCACTGGCACATTTGCTTTTTACATCATCTAACTAGCAACGCGCCATAACTGCGCCTGACCACTCCTCATTTTTAGATCAACACACCCAGAGAAGCGCAAGTTCATTTGCTAGTTAGATGACGAGGGTGCAGGGCGTGAAAATGACAACTGCGCCTGCATCTAAATAGCAATGACACATGCGACATGGATTATGTGCCCTCCGCTGTCTGCTTTAGACCATCTAAATAGGGCCCTTAATCTAGAATAGCTGCCAAAATTAACACTTAGAGATTTTTAAGATATGTTATGATTGAATATTAGTGTCAACTAACTTTAAGCAGTTTCAATCTGACGAGACTGCTTATCTATGCCCAAGGGTAGTGCTCAGGAAAAGACCATTGAATCATAAAAATCACAAAGGTTCATCCTCTCAAAAACCCATATAAGCAGAATTGCATGGCAGTCAGCCTATGAGATAAGAGCTGTATTTTTTTTTATAATGCTGATATGTTTGCATGAGGGTGGCTCTAAAGGAAAGCTCACAAAGCGTTCAGAATTTAAAGGGTTGATCCTCTGAAGAGCATGAATGTGCCAAATGAATTCCATTGCAATGTGACACTTACATTTTGCTGTTTTTTGCTCACAATTAATAGAGGAAAAGCCAGAAAGTAATTGAAAATAGCAGGATACATCCTCAGGGGACCATGAATACCCAGAGATGTTCTGACAAATTAGCCAGCAGTTAAGATTTCTTGCTATGAATCAAAGTGTTGGGCAGACAGAGACTGACTGACTAACATCTTCATGTCCTCAGCCTTGAAAAGCTCATATCACTCAAACCTTACATTCATTTCCTAATTTCCTGTCTTCTTTGCTGTCTCTGTCTGACACACTGACCTCCCCCACCCCACACACACCTGCAGAAGTAGCTCGTAATGACACCTGCCCTGAGCTTCCAGAGATCTCTAACGGCTGGAAGAGTACATCTCATCCTGAGCTGGTTCAGGGCACTGTGGTGACCTACCAGTGTTACCCTGGTTATCAGGTGGTGGGCGCCGAGCTGCTCATGTGCCAGTGGGACCTCACTTGGAGCGGCGACCTACCAAGCTGCGAGAGAGGTGAGTACAAAAACGCTGTTGCCACTACTCAGTTATCCACTTGAAAGGGGAAAGATGGTAGATAAAAGCTTAGGGTGTCCATTTTCCTCCTAGAACCAACAAGGAGTTACATGTAGGACACAATATTTGTAAATCATTTCATATAAATCCAACTAAATTTACATGTCTATTCAGTTTTAATTTCACTCAAACCATACCCTTGAACCAAGGAAGATTCCAAGTTATCTTTGAAAGTTGAAATTATATAACATTGAGATTATAGACATGAGCTCCATCACCTTACAGGTAACTGTGCAACACTGACTGTCACAGAACAGACATATGGCCACATATAACCCTACACCACAAATGAATACAATAAATACAAATATGTAAACAAAATGACTTTTAATGAGCCTTAAATAATAATAATATCCATTGTTACAATGAAATGTGCTACAATGTACATCACAAAATGTGTGTTAAGTGCAAGTGCAAACATTGTGTGAGTGTGAGTGAGTGTGTGTTGTGTTGAGGAACCATCATTGCCAGGAATACCTTTATCAGAAAGAACAGGAAGGAGTCTACATGTTGAACAGTAATAACAACAAAACAACAACAAAACAGTGCTGTCAACAAATTCAGAGTGAAGTAAAGTCTCTAAACCCCACACCTCTGTCAGACGGTGTGTGTGTGTGCGTGTGTGTGTGCGTGTGTGTGTGTGTGTTTGTGCCTCCGACACACCTCTCAGCAAGAACGAGCCGATGTTAGCAGTTCCTCTCTGTGCCTCCACTGCCTGTGTGTGTTTGCTAACATCATTTTCCCGCTGTGTTCCCCACTAAAGTCTGCCCGACATAGCTTACAAAACGTGTGGTACTTGCTGACCTGGCTAGCGACTAGAAAAGGGAAGGTCTGGCACCAAGCAGGCTGAAATTTCGACGCATACTTCTTCTTTTTGGGAGCCGTTTCATTCATTTTCAGTTTGTAACGTTCCGCCTCGAGCTTGGGCATGGACGTGAGCTTGAATGTGCGCAGTCACGCACAGCACGCACAGCACGTTGGGCGGGGCCGTTTGGGTTAGGTTGCCAGGTACTACGACACACGAAACACTAATTTGACTCATATCACTATGAAATCAGGAGAATAGCGGGAGAAATTACCAATCGGGAGCAGGGCCAGAGAAAGGGTTAAAAATAGGGAGACTCCCATGTAAATCGGGAGTGTTGGCAGGTATGCTGAACTATCCACAGAGGTCTCTTTTTCTCCGTAACAAGAGGGCAAGGTGATTTAAATCAGTAAAAACACTGACATACAACTGTTTGTTTGAGGCTGTTCGGCTTGTCGGAGACAGGCCGCAAGCCCGGCACCTGCGAATGTGCGCTCACCTTTTTTCATTTATAACTTAAAATTTAGACATTAAAGAGGTTTTTATTGTGAGTCAGTTTATCCACAGATGTCTCGTCCTCTCAAAAACAAACAGACCCAGTGATTTAAATTGGTAAAAACACTGGATAAAGCAGTTTAATCTTTAAAAGAAAACGTTTTTGAATGCTGCTTGCTGTGGAGGGGCTGTTAACAGTGTTCGAGTGGCTATGTCTAGAGTAGCTACCCACTCCCTATGTGGATTTTAACGATTCATTCTGAAGTAGCAAAAATACATTTTTTTTTTCAGGTGATTATACACTGTAAAAAACATCTTTATTATATTATATTCAGTTTCTGCTAATGCATCCCCCTTAGTCCCACACAATTAACAATTAAAATTTTAGGAATATATACAAAGTAAAAAATAGCCACCAATGCCCCAAAGGTTATATAGTCTGGGTCTCCAGTGGTATTAAGGTTCTTTTACAAGGAAGAGCAGCATGGGTCTCCAAGACTAGACACAGAAGTCAATTAAAATAGAAGTTAAAAAAATAAAAGTTTATTTACACTGAAATAGACCATGACGAGACTAGGTCAAAACCAGTGCTGGGTAAGATACTTGGAAAATGCAGGCCTGGTGAGCTAAGCCACCAGTTACTCTACATCAAAATAAAGTTACTTTTTCTTTTGACTTTATGTCAAATCAGCATTATCTCAGTGAGAAGAAAAACTGTCAGCCAAACAAATGGGCAGGCAAAGAAATGCTCAATAGAACAGTTTATTATAAAATAACAGACTTAAATAGAAAATTTCTTCTTTTCTTTGTGACATTTGAACATGTCCTCCAATAACATGACATCATCAGTCTCCCTCTTTCTCTCTCCTCTTCCTACTTAATGCATTTCTCTGTCTTGGCCTCTTTCATTAGGCTATCTGGCTCTGTCAGTGATCAAAAGTAGAATTCCAAAATATATTTTTCACTCAATATAAACCATAATAAATAAAAGACCATCATATAAACAATAATAATAACGGACCTAAATGAAAACTTTTCTTTTTTGGGACATCAGAACATGAACATGTCCAGCAAATAACACGTGACATCAGTATGTCACTCTCTGTCTCCTCTCTACCTTCTAAATACTGTTCTCTGTCTCTCTGGCTCTTTTCTCGGCCCTTGTTGAGTCTGTTTCTTTAGTGTTCATTGCAAATCCACTAAACATGTACAGTCTATGGGCAGGACACATGAGAGTCACATCAAGAAGTGCAATGTAGCCAATCACTGGCAGAGTAGGGTGGGTCTTGCCAAGAAAAGCCAATAGCAAAGTAGCAAGCAGAACAAACTGAAGGATTAGTATGTGATGTCATGCAGAAGTGCTTCCCTCGTCTAATGCCTAAGTGTGGTGCTGTCATATTACTTCCTCGGTTTTATTATCCTTTATGCAGACCTCCAATTTAAAAGAAAAATCTGCTGCACTTCAGAGCTTTTCCTGCAAAAAGAGCTTGTAACAACTAATCAGTTAAACACTATAGAAAAGCTGTTTGACTCAGAAAGTAGTGATGTTACCACCATGCTACTGAGAAATGTAGTTAAGTTAGCTACTTGTAGTGATGCTACTGCCCATCACTGGTCAAAGCCTAGTATATGGCTGGACCTTTTAAGAAGAGCTAGAGGGCTTTTATGTTGAAATGAAGACTCTTAATTTGTAACAGGAAGTGTTTGGCATATACTCAGTTAGGGACTTCTTGTGGACTCCCTTTTGTTGTGGTCCAGCCCAACATTTCATGTAAATACAATACAACATGAAGAACAGCAGGCCAAACTGAGACAGCTGCAGTTGTGGATGCACATCCAAACGATACTGGTGGAGGCTGCACGGCCTTTGGCCACTATTAGAGCCAAGCTCCGCTGTAAGTAGTCAAATATGATTAAAAAAGGGCTTGTGTCATCCAGACATGACTGTTCCCCAAACAAATTAATGAAGCGATCCTCTCTTTTCTGTTTCCAAAACTGCCATTTTGTCAACAGTTGGCTAGTTAGTTAGCATAGCTCGCTAATTCCACCACACTTTTATTCTAATGCTACAGAAAATGAGCCGAACAGAGTTGTCAGTCATCTTATAATAGCAATCTGCTTTGACAGGAGTGTGTGGCTGAAGCCTTAAGTTGTTAAATTTTACTCATGTAGTGGCTTGCTAGTTAGCAGCTAGCTTGCTAATTCCACCATGCTACCATGCTACACTGGTTACAGACAATGAGGAATACAGTGATACAGGACTGTCAGCATCCACGGTTCTGTCAGCATCTGTTCATTACAATGGCAATTAAAACATCAATGGTCAAAGAGAAATATTCTAAAATGTCATAAAAATAAAAAGGAAAGTAAAATAAATGAGTCTCGAAATGATTCTCAGGAACGGAAGTCCAATTAAAGTTAAGGTCCACTTAAAAGGAGGGAATTAATGTTCAAACTCTGGCATTTATGCACTTCTGATCTGGCATTTATGCACTTCTGATCCTAAACTTGGACTAACCTGGGCCTAGCGCTGCTCCACTTTACCTATAAATATCCTCCTGCAGGAGGGGAGATCCTCCCCTCTGGCCACGCTATTTGGCACCATCACCATCCTGCTCACAGGGGATTGGTTCGGTCAACTGATGTTTCCCAAGTGGTCAAAAATGATAAATAAATAATAAATTTTGCACCACATCACAAAATTCCTGCAACAACGTATGAGACATAATTGAGCATGAGAGTATATGATGGCCCATCATATACCTCCATCCTTAGCCCCTATACACTCTAAACTTTCAAAGTTTGAATAGGCACCTAACCAAAACATAATCATTTTTACAGATTTATAACCTGACACACAGTGCTGAGCTGCATTGCAGATTGATCTCAAGGTTCCCGGCTTTCAGATGACATACCACTTCTATGTGGCACATAGCCTACTGTTAAAGTCCCCACAATATCCCCACAAGACACCCCCTCACTCAACCCAACCCAAAAACATGAACAAAAATGAGTTTATGAGATAAACTTGAGAAGACTTGTTCCCCAGTCAATGTTTTGTTCCTTGAAGTCCTTAAAATTCAAGCCTGTTTGAAGAACAATGAATTGCCCAGCAGATGTAGATACATAATGAATTACATATCTACCTATAGAAAGAGAAGGATAAACAACTACATAAGCAGCAACATAACCATGCAAATAATAAGCAAGCAAACATACAAGCAAAGGGGGCAGCATACACTAACAGCCAAGCAAGATATAAACAGGTACATAGACATGCATGCATGATACATATAAGCATATATAGCAACATACAATGACAGAGAAATGTGACATGCAATGCAAGGAAATGTCCAAGCTTAAAAGGAGCAGGAGCAAGAAAAATCCATGTAAGGAAATGGCCATGCTTATCATGAACAAGAGCATTGAGATACCTACAAACATAAGTGGAACTCAAAATGTTAACTCTACTGGTATTAGTCTATGCACATCTGATAATTAGTATTGTTGAGCAAGTTATTCTCAAAATGTAATATATTACATATTATGAGTTACCTTCATTTGAAAGTAATAAGTTACTTTACAATACAACTCCTTGGTCGTGTGCAACCTGTAAATCTGCAGGCGTTTTTTTGTTTGT